TTGATGATTATTGATTTTTTAGTTCATTATCACACATTAATTACATTCCAATACGTCAAAAGTTGTGTCGAATTACGGACCGAAGGCCTCGAAAAGGCTGAACCTAATTTTATTACCTTGAGAATCAGCATTGAATTCTGACTATTTTGCATAATTTTATTTTCTACTTTATCATAACCCAATTTTTCACACTTGGGGTCTTCCTCAGGCATCGAAAAAAAATTTGTTGCTACTGTATTGCAAGTTTTTATAGTTCACTAGCACCAAGTGTGCTGATTACAAATATTTCATTTGTTTTCAAATGTACTCAAATAATAAGGAAGTAGTGTCGTGTCTAGGTGGTGGCTAGAGAGGGCGCCACCTTTCCACCGACAAGAAAGAAAACTTAACAATTATCTTGAAATTTTTATCGTTTTTCTAGCATGTTATACAGCTCTAGAAATTCAGTTGACAAGGAGTTGATGCGCCTTTCACTCTAATAGAATTTTACTTAAAAAAAGATATTCTTGTTCGAAATAAAAGGGTGCGTATATGAATCATAATCAATAATTACTTACATTTATTATGAGTTTAGAGTAATATCTAATACAAAAAGTGTAGAGAATGTATCGATAGCAGAGATCGAATCGAACCGAGTTTTACTGGTTCGAGTTCGGTTCGGTTCATCTTTCTTTTCTAGAAAAGAGTTCAGGTTCGGTTCATATTTGTTTTCTTAAAATCAGTTCGGATTCTGTTGGGTTCGAGTGTATTTCAAAAACTCCGGATGTGAGGTATGGGGTGTGAGTGTATGAATAAGATGCGAGCGGAGACAATGTCTACACCTACACCCTGAATTTTTACGTATTTCATATTTTCTGAAGCTCTGTTTAAAACCTAAATTTCTCGATCGTTATAGTATGTGTTGTAATCTTTATTGGCTCTTACTTCAAAAATTATTCACTTCTACTAACATTATTTGTCTCGAGTGTAACCTAGAAGATCGTGCAACTGTGTATTTTTACGAACGAAAAAATCAAAAAAGTATGAAACAAATCATTTTACAACCTCGGACAAAAGTCTTTTCTCCCTTTATCTTTTTATGCTGTCATACTTTGTATCAAATTTATTACTGAGTAAAGATATGACACAAGTGATTTGTTAGTGTGATCTGTACACCAAAATGAAATAAAACTTTCATGTCACATCTCTACTCAGTAATAAATTTAATACAAAGTTTGACATCATAAAAAGATAAAGATCGGAAAGATTTTTGTTCGAGGATGCAGATCCTATAAGGAAACCTATGCATGATTTTTCCATATATTTAATTCCTAAGAGAGAGTCAAAAAATCGATTTAAAAATTGTTATGTTCTACTTTTATTATACTTGTTTTAAGGGCAAATCATGGGTTCGAATAGTGTAGAACATAAACGTTTGTCTATTTCTTTTTCTTAAAGAATCACCACCGGTGCATAAGATTACATGCATATATACATCATCAAAGAAGAAGAAAGAAAAGAACAGAGAAACGATGAACAACACATATATATAGATGTCATGACATAACACCCTACCCCTTTGAGAAAAAAAAGATTTTTAGATAGAAAGAGAAATCTTTTTTTTTATAGAATATAACAACATGTTTAACATCACACAGAAAAAAAATATAGAAATGAATAAATGAAAAAATATATAAAACTAGAATCAACAGAAAACAGAAAAATCTGACAACAGGAACTAAAAAAAAATGTGACCAAAAACATGATGGAGCTTGTACGAAACGTATTCGATCAAATATCATAACTTATGTTGTATTAATGTAAATTGTTCATATTAATATTGTTTTAAATACATAAAGTCGACCGAATAATAAATGCACTATCAATACATGAAATAATTTTTTACCTTGATTTTGTACATATCGGTCGAATATCATTAACATGTGGGTGATTAATTAATTGAGATGCTTTTTTTCGTACTGACTGAGTAGGATTTGGTTTCCTAATAATGGATTTTGGATACAATTGACTGAGGTTTGTAATATAGCTGTTGGATGTGGGTGTGGGTGTGGATGTGGGTGTGTGGGTGTGGATGTGGGTGTGTGGGTGTGTGGGTGTGGATGTGCGTGTGTGGGTGTGGGTGTGAGTGGGGTGTGGGTGTGAGTGTGGGTGTTGATCTTCTCTTCACCCACACCAACACATCACATCCACACCCACACATCCACACCCACACATCCACACCCACACCCACACCCTCCAGCCACCCCACACCCACACCCACACCCACACCCACCCACACCCACACCCACCCACACCCACACCCACACCCACCCACACCCAAGATAGTTCAACACCATTAATAAAACGCTAAAAATGTTTCAATAATAACTGTAACGTATTCTTCTTAATTGAACTGTATCGTATATGCAGAGAGTGGGATGTGGGTGTTGATGTTGCGAAGATTAATACTCACACCCACACCCACCCACACCCACACCCACACCCACACCCACACCCACCCACACCCACACCGACACCCACATCCACACCCACATCCACACCCTAGCCACACCCACACCCACACCCTTTTTGCTCCATTCGTCTCGATCTGAGGACTGAATATTGATTACATGATCAATAATCTAAGTCATATGATGAGAATTGTAAGACGCTTTCGTGCAAGCTACTAAAACTTCTTCTATCGATAAAAAAAAAGAACGGAATAAAGAAAATATTTAAAAATCAACAATATTTTCAATAGAATATTCTATGGTTTCAATTGAAAAACAAAAATATAATGTACTTTTCAACATGTTACATGACTAAAAATACGAGGTTAACAATACAATTGAATTTCTTTTTTTTTTATATCATTGTTGACATTCTTATAATCAAACATGAATTCTATGGAATATTTTTTGTTATTGTATGAATGTTGAGTTTTCTATTATTTCAAAAAAGAAAAATCAATGATATATATGTATATGCTAGACATATTTCTTATGAATATTTTTAAAGAAATATGAAGATCTACGATCTATCAAAATAAAAATAAATTGCGCAGTATATTAACTTCAATGACTAGATTGAAATAAAACACATTAATTCTCATATTCATAATAAAAAAATCTCTCGTGAAAGTAATTTCATTCGATTCAATTGATCAATCTGTAAGTTGGACATAGAATATTTTGAAAAATGAATTTATTTCGATAATATTCAAAATAGTTTATATGTAATTAAATAATGAGAACATCAACTGAAGTAGTGCCAGTATCACAAGGCTTTTCTCCAATTCGTTCTCAATATAGTTTTATTGATGAACGACAAGTTCAACCAATTCAACAAGGAAAATATCAAGCATGGAAAACAGACACTTCTCAAGAACCTTTTATTTCGACTTCAACTATCATGTTAGATTTATCTTTATTCTTTTATAGATGATAAATAGAATTCTTTTTTGTACTTCTTTTAGTGAAACTAAATCTGGTTCATTTAAAAAATATGTGACAACAAAATGTATAATGTCATTTCTTATTGGTTTCATTATTTGTGGTGTTCCATTGGCTGTTATGTCGGCTTTATATGCACAGAAAAGTAAATTTCATTTCATGTATTATTATTATGATGATTATTTTTATGATTAAATTTAGAGACATCATCTAGTAGCAGTTCCGGTAGAACCAATCGATTAAAATTCTATTTCTATTTAAGAATTAGATAAATTTTCTCTTTAGATTCTTCAAGTAGTTCTGTAAGTCTTCCATCACAATGCACATCATATATTGCTAATTCGGATTCAACACGTCTTACAACTTATACAAGTTGTACTAATTGTTTTTCTGATACTAGTGCAACTTTTACAACAGGTTGGTATAGATTTATGAATACAGGAACTCGACTGACTACAACACCTCCCAGTTATGGATCATGTGGTGTTTCATATCCAGCTTGGTATAATGGTACTTTTCCATCAACTGCAGGTTCAAGTGTAACAGGTACTGTTTGTGTACAATGGAGCGGAAATTTATGTCATTCTTCATATATTACAACAATTTCTGTTACAAATTGCAACGGTTATTATGTTTTTTATTTAATTCCAATGACTACTACCGGTATACGATACTGTACAACATATTAATTCGATTATATTTACATCATAAAAAAAAACAATTAACTTTCTTCATTTGACTTCTTTTTTTTTCAATTTGATTTATTTTGCTTTATTTTATTCAAATAAATAAATAAATAAATATAGATCTTATTAAAATAATATTTTCTTCAATTCAATTCGTCTAGATTTTTAATCATCAAAGAATAATATTCAATGATTACATTCAAACAAACTTTTGATTTTCTATCAGAATGACAAAAAAAAATAATACGAGCAAAACTTAGAAACTAAGAAAAACAAGACAACTTATAAAAAACAATTAATGGATTTTTTCATGTTTGAAACAGAAATAAATATGAGAAAATTCAATAAAATATATTTTAATTTGAATGAATATTTATAGTGAATATTGAACTAAATATATATTGACATTATCATAGAAAAATAAGTATTTACATTTGAAATATTCATTCATCCTTTTTGTTTTTAAAGATAAATTTATTGAAATCAAAGATTAATATATAAATCAATACGTGTTAATTCTTTTCTTATAGAATACTTCTTTCATAATTTCAAATCATATACTAGTCAAACTTAAATAATAATAAGAAATCTCTTCTCCAGAAAAAAAAATCCACTTTATAATGTACTTACATTCGATATGATTGGAAAGAATGCTTTTTTTTGTCATCCATAGATTTCTAGATCTATTGAATTTTGAATTATTATTTTAAAGAAAATTAAAAATCAACAACGACTTAAAAAGAAGTCTAAACATATAAATATATAAATTTCGATGTATCAATTCAAAGTAACAGACAGAATATAAACATCATTTTTCATATTCATAATCCAACAATCGAAAATTTTTATAATAACATATTTCATTGTGAATTAAAAAAAAAGAATGATTGACGATTACAATACAGGACGTCGAATAACTTCTTGGGATACAAGTGATCCTCCAAAATCCTTGGATTCATCACAATTAATGAGAAATGCTCCTTCATTGTCCATGTCGCAACATAATTCTCTCGTACCATATTCACAATATAATGCTCAAGTTCGTTCACAAAACAGTATTGATCAACGACAAATGCAACAAACACAATATCAAACAAAAACATTGAGATCATCAAAACCAAATTCAACAGACATCGAAACAGGGTAAAAGAAAGAAACATTTATTATATGAATAAATAATGGATGTGTTTTATTTCAAATTAGTTCAAAATTCAGCATAAAATCGATTAGCATAAATCATATTCTTGGTTTTATTCTGGGTCTTATAATCACTGCAGTTCCCTTGGGTGTTATTGTTACTTTTTATGCATTATTATGTAGGTTTCTTAACATATTTTTAATTTTATCTTATGAATTATTTTTACACTTTTTTAAAATGAATTTACCAACAGCATCCGATAGTGCTACAACCAGTGCATCTAGTAATAACTTTTTGTTTTGTTTTCTCTAAGCATAAAATTTTATTGTTTTTAGCAACAATCTCAACATCGATCAGTTTGCCTCCTCAATGTACTAGTTACAACACATTAACTGATATATCGCGTCTTTCAACTTATACTAGTGGCTGCTGTCCTTGTGACTCTACTGTATCTACTGGTTGGACTCGAATAACTGGATCAGCAGGAACTCAATTGATTACATATCCTGTTAGTACAAGTTATTGTAGTACAAATACTCCGGGTTGGTGGAATGGTACTCATCCATCAACTATTGGTGCAACAACATCCGGTACCCTATGTGTTAGTTATAGTGGATATTTATGTAATCCATCATATTCAATTAGTCCGATTCTTGCAACCAATTGCAGTGGATATTATGTCTATTACTTACAAACATTGAGCTGTTATTGTTGTTGGATTTATCCACGATATTGTACCATATAAAACTCGTCTAATTCAGATGAACTTTAACAAATTGACAGTTTTTTTTCCTTTAATATTTTCCTACCTTATATAGCATTTTTCTTATATATTCTATTAATAAAAACGAATACTCACTTCATGAAAAAATTTGTCATTCTTGTTGAAAAAGTAAGAATGTACGTTATAATGAGACCAAAAGTAGCGAGGGATTTTTGTCTCTCTAGGGTGTGGATGTGGAGTATCAGATAAATAACAAACACATCTACCCCACACCTCAGCCACACCCACACCCTTGAGACCGAGACTGAAGATTCACGAACAAAGATGAAAATTTTTCTCTATCAAGAACTTTCGAGGCTCTACGAGATTTTGATTGAGAATTCCTCATCATGACCTCAACTAGCTATGTCTACAAACGGACAGATTGGTCACGAAAAGAAAAGGCCAAGTCTTGATCAAGATTTTAATTTTTTCAATTTTTCGACCGAGACTGATCGAGACTTGGCCTTTTCTTTTCGTGGCCAATCTGTCCGATCGTATACGTATATTAAATATCCATTTGTCAACATGATTTATTAAATAAACGATATGTTTTCAAGTATTAAATTATTTTTTTCTCATACAATCCAAACTCCTATCTTTCATCAAGTAATCGAACTTGAACTACAGCTGGGTGGTCAATGGCCGATTGATTCGCTTAAATTTCTTTCGACAGTACTTGATCTTTCTCATCTCGTCAAAATTTCTTTGAATATTTGGTTTGATAAGGATTTTGCTCAGTGCACGATCAATAATCTAAACAGTTTATTCGAACAAGCACTTCATGTTCGTACACTTCATAATCATAATCGTACTGCAAGTGCAGAAATAATTTGTTCGATAGTACTTTACCATATCAAGCATGTACCAACGAAAATTATCAAATGGCTAAAACAGAGACGAACGACCTTTACGTTTTGGTGCAATTCATTCTGTATATATTTATGGGTTGACAATAATATATCGAGATTAAAAGACATGTGGGGACAGACTAAATTAAAATAGTTTCTCTTATGATTTTTTTTTAAATGTTGATATTTCATTCTTTATTGTAACTACATCCACATTTATCTTTTCCTTTCTAAATCTTATCAAGTGTTTATTTACGTTAGAATATTATTGTGTAACAATAAATGAAAGGATTAGAATAGAGAGGAATATAAATATAGTTGAGGTCAAATTGAAAAAGAGAAAAATAACGAAAGTGATGTATAACGTCGGAGTGTGCTTTGTCTTTATGAAGAAAATAACAAATTCTAGAATTAAAATATGTTTAATTGGATCAAGAGAACTTTCAATATTTGTTATTTCACCAGATATATGAGCAAAGCGCGAGATGTACTGTAATAACGTACTAATGAATATTAAATCATATCCAAAAGAATTATTATAGTACTAAAGATAAACAACATAAAAGTATTGAAATTTGAGTCAAATTTTGTAGCAAAAGATGAAATTAAAATAATTTTTTCTCCCAATATCTTGTAAAGATCCACGAAAACAATCTAGTCATCATATGTAAGACTGGATGTTTCATCACATCTAATTCGGTAAACCATGGACACATTAGTTTTAGAAATGTAGTTGGAAAAAAACATTCCAAATAAACTACAACCAAGATTCAGTTCAATTGCTTCTCCATGATGTACAAATAATAAGAAGAGGAACGAATATCGAGCTGAGAAAGTCATTATCTAAAACATAAAAAAGCATTCAAAAAAAAATATATATATGTGAAAAAGAGTCATCATCTGACCGGCAGTAGTAAGTGAATCTCTGTAATATAATCCAACTTCACAAAAATGCTATTTTTCTACAAATTTTCTCCACCAAAATGGAACAAAATCGATCGCATATAGAAGATGAAATGGATACATGATTGTAGAAATACAAGACTTTTTTTGTTGACAATCTTTTTTTAATGCTGCAAATGTGACCGGAGCAAAACAGACACGTAAATACTGTTTGTTTTTTATAATTGAGAAATAGAAAAATCTTCAATGTAACATACACATGCGTTATCACATTCACTATGTTGGCTTTTAGTGCATTATGTCGATGTATAGATACTCAAAGCTTTGAAACATGTTTAATTTTTAGTTAATCATAACAAACTAGGAAAAGAGAAATCGGAGAGAAAAAGGATGCTTTTATTGTGCTTGAAATTTTTCTTCGCCATTCATTATAAATAGAAGCATGAATATATTGAATGACACAGAACCTGACTGAAATAATGTATGCTCAAGATGAATAATATTGTCTTCAGTGCGAAAAATAGAGACCTGGCCTTGGTCGTTATTGTATTCAAGTATTTTTCTATAATTCAAGAATTTGGTCGTATTGCATCGAAATGTTGTAAGCAAATATTTGTCATCGCGGATAAAATGACTGTCAGATTATTCATTATTTCGAAGAAAGAAAAAAAGTCTGAGAGCAGCACAACGGAAGGAAAGAATGAACAAAAAACACAGCAGCGAAAGAAAGAGAAGAGAATGAAGGCTAAACTTCCCATTAGTCTGTTGCGATGAGATCACATATTGTAATTGCATTTGTTCTTCCGACAGATTCTTTTGAAAGGCTTAAATTACTCTATGGGTTTTTTCCAGCAAGCAGAAATTCCAAATTTCCTATAAAAGGAAAGATTGAATAGATTCGATATATCTTCTACGAATTTTGTGTACAAATCAGTATCGGTATTCCGTTCGTCACGACGTTCATCTATGACCAAATGGTAGCAGAAGATAAAGAAAAACCAATCGGACAACGTTTCACTGGCACTCCATTTAGTTATGATAACTGTTGGAAGAAACTTCGAGAGATCTTTCGTCAATTTCAAGAACAATCGTCGAACATAATTGTTATCTTTGATGGAATTTTCAAAAAAAATCCTTACCAAAGACCCGATCCTGAAAGAGCAAGTAGTTGGCGTTTTGCTAACCTCAATGATGATCGAAATCGACTTCCTTTTCTCCTTCGGTATGAATTTATGAACATTTTGCGTGATATTGGAATCGAAATAATTGTCGCAGAAGGTGAAGCAGATCCAACTATTGTCAGAATGGCCGAAGAACACGACGCCTATATTGTTGCCGGCCATTGTGACTATCATTTTTATCAACTTCATCGAGGTTACGCTCCACTACGCTTTCTCGATTTGCAGACATTTACTGGACCAATCTATCGAATGAGTGATATTTTTAAACGCATGAATAACAGAAGTGTGGCTCTATGGGCGACTCTCATTGGATATATTTTTGTCAGTTTCGATATCTTTCAGGTATGTCATGTTGTTTGTAATGTTCAAATACCAATGCAACAATTTTTGATTGTAGGAGTTGTATTCGAAAATACCTGCCAATCATAAAAGACACTTTCGACATTGGTTGGAAAGAACGCAGGCAGATCCTGTGAAACAGCAATGGGTTATTAGCCAATGGCCATTGCTCTATCAAATTCAAAAAGTGGACGAACACGAAGTATATAATCAACTAATCAAACATGTTTCTTCGGAGCATCGTTCAGAATTCACAAACATAATGGAAGGCTACCTCAATCTCTCTCGGCCAATCATCATGTCACGAAATGGTTTTCTTCTTCCTCCTTTTCTTAAACATAATTTCACCAATGAGAAACTGGATCGTGCTGTTATTGATATTCTTGTTTCTCGAGAATTGTTTATTCACTATCAAGGCAGCAATCAGGCTCATCTCGATTTACTTCTTCCGCTCTGCTACATTCTCCTCAAATGGGACGAACAAAACCCAAAGATTGTCGATTCCTATCGGATGATTACGTACAAAGGACAATAAATCTGTCCATTTGAACATATCAATGGAGATGATCTGCCTGTACTAGTCGACATTCCTAACTTGCTTACAGATGATAAGAAGAAATTCATTTTGCAATGTGTTCAAAACATACTGCAGCCATCAAATCCCATCAACTGGAGCAGAATACACGAAGATTATGTTTTATGGCTTGGTATTCTAAAACTATGGTTTTACAAAAGAGAACACGAGATCATGTCGACGGATTCGGTTTTTCTCGCATTGATTGTTTCGTTTCTCAAGCATGTTCTGCTTGATACGTACGATGAATCAGATAAAAAGCAACATCTTATTAAATCGCTATCAGAGTCACTTTGCTGAAAAGCTTTCCCTACCTTTTTCTATTTTACAACGCTATCCACCGAGTAAAGCATTGTCTTCGATTCCATTGCTTCAGTATTCTACACAGCAACTGAAGAATTACTTTTCGTTGGAACGATGCTTCACATTAAGAAATTTGATGAACATATTAAGATGGAATTGGAAGAAGTCGAACAATTCTATCAAGCAATTCTTTTGCTGCACACTTCCAATACCGTTACCACGCCAATGCGTCAGTCAACTCACTTACGGTTTAGCTGTTGCTTTCTTAAAATCGAAGAATGCTGTCAATGACATCCAGAATACATTATTCGAAGGAGATAGTCTGTTGAATAGTCTCATGAACGAAATTCAAGCATCTATCGATCGTCGTGAACTAAAGACATGTTTTGTTGTAATAACCGATATGCATTATGTATTTCTCATAGGTCAGTATTCTTTTTTGTATTGAAATATTCAGTCTAGAAGGTTGATCAATAAAAATCTCAAGCTGAACTAACTTATTGACATCCTCTTTGATTAAAACATTCATACCCATGAATGTATGTGCACCAATATGCCAATGCAGCATCCATAGACTCATGTAGAAGAGGAGAGATGCTCGGGATCGGATTTTGATACATACCCTGTTCATGTGAATGGATCAAAAATTTGTGTCCATGCAAATGAAAAGAATGGCATTCGCATACACCATTCAATGTTACCGTATTTTGAAGTACAATATCGATAAGTTCATTGTGTTTAACATATCATTGGATAGATTTTGTGCGTTGCCATTGTAAAGATCGAAAAGCAGTGGTGTAGTTAAATCTTTCAATCGTGACATATCCAATG